CTCAAGTCAAAACTCATAAACATTAAAAAGTTCATATTTAAAAAACTCTTAGTTTATAGTTCCATCCATTTCTAAGTACAGATGAAAGTTTTACAAATTCATCACAACTAAAAAGAAAATAAATAAATCTGAAGAACACCACAGTGGAGCCTGTACCTCCATTCCTGGAAAGGACACTTGTTAATGTTAAGTTCTTATAAGTCTTGTTCCCTCAGTGATCATGGAGGAGGCAAGTACTGTCACTGTCCAAAAAGGGGAGAGGGAAGGGAAGCAGAAGGGAGGACAGGAGAAAAACACATGCATGCCAAAATAAGAAAATGTCCCCTAAAAAAAAAAAAAAGAGCATTTAAACTGCTTGTCAGCCAGCTTCCTGACAAAGCCACCAGAGTGTATTCACAGGCATTTGCATAAATGCTGCCGGTGAGTTCACCATTGCTGCTAGCGCTAATGGTACATAAAGTAATTTAGTCACTTCTCCCACCATTCTATGTCAGAATGATGAGCACCGGCACTCTGCCTTGTTGCATATTAGATCATTAGATAATAAAGTGTTAGCACATGCAAGCTGACAGGGTCTCCATACTCTCGCATTGTGAGGCCACTGCATTTTGCCACAGGGGGAAAAGAAATAGAGAAACTGATGCCACAACTAGCCTTATGTTGAAGTAAACACAACCAGAAACTCAGGCGAACAACAAGGACAACAACAACACTCCCCAAGCCCTTTGAAGATGCCTAGCAGAGTTCTCATGATTTTGCCCAAATGACAGGGAGACATGGAAAGCTTACTAGCTACAGCTTTACATTACCACGGGTGGCAACAATTCAGCTCTTTTAAGCACCCCTGGAGGCTTGATGGTTAAGTGCTAGGCTGTGAACCAGAAGGCTGACAGTTCAAACCCACCCAGTGGCTCTTCAAGAGAAAAGACCTGGCAATCTACTTCAGTAAAGATCACAGCCTAGAAACCCCTATGGGCTGTTCTACTCGGTCACATCAATTCAGAATGGACTCAATGGCACCTAACAACAAAAACAACAACAACAGCCCCAATCTAGGCTTGTTATTTTGTTTTTTTCCCCCAGACTAGAACCCTAGAGCTAGTTCCATTCTGACATGAGATTGCTTCTTTCTTTCACTGTCAAAACCAAACTCATTGTCACTGAGTTGATTACAACTCATCATGACCCTGTAAGACAGAGAAGAACTGCCTTTTAGGGTTTCTAAGGCTGTAATCTTTATGGAAGCAGACAGCCGCATCTTTCTCCTGCGGAGTGGCTGATGGGTTAGAACTGTCAACCATTTGGTTGCTTAACAACCATGTCATCAAGGCGCCTTTCTCCCACTGCACATCTACCATTGAGCTACCACTTTAAGAAGCAACCTCTCTAGCCTAAACTCTCCCATACATATCCAACCAAAGAAAATCTCAGTATTTATGAATGAAGAAAAACATGACGGAGGGGAGCAATTACCATGCGCTAAAGCGTGCTGAGATTCACTGTCTTTGGACCACACAAGATTCTATGAAATAAATTTGCCTTAGTCAATTCTCCTGCTTGGAAAACAGGAACAGTTATTTGAGCACAGGGGTCTGTGGGTCCATGGGTCACACAGGGGAGACAGTGCTGAATGTAAACCATGATCTCTGTTTCCACTTATGTGCAGAGAGATGAGCCACGAAAGGCAACGTTTCTCCAATTGTCTGGCAAGCAGGATATAAATAGAGATGTGCAGGATAGCTCAAAATAATTCAGGCTACCTCTAAATGAGATGGTAAAAAGCCCAGGATTGGGGGGGGGGGGCGGAGAACAGACTTCTATAGGTCTCAAACGGTAGAAATACTTTTCAGTCTCACTGTGCAGTAGCCGTTTGAGATGGAGATGGGAGAGTGGAGAGACAGAAAATGTGGAAAGAGGGTTGGTTTTCTTTTTTTGTCTTAAACAGAGTGTTTTCAAATAGGATAGGATTTTTAATGGCAAGATAAAGTATTACCATATCCCAAAATCAACACGAATTAATATCTCAGTCCACTCCCACACATCACATCTGAAAGAGCTCAAAAGTCACCCTTTGCTGAGCAGATATTTATGTATCAGCTTGAAGTGTCTAAATGAGTGGGTGGTTATGTGTGGTTGGTTGATTCATTCTGCAGAGAAGCGGATTTCTATGTTATTGTCATTACTAAGGACCAGAATGTGTTTACCCTTTCATTCTGCTGGAAAAAAGTGAAGTAAGGCTTTGGGGAAAGCAAGGCCTTCTAGCAGGAGGAAATAGAGCATTCAGGTCCCCAAGGAAGGTGAACCATGTATACACAGCTCAATGTCACCATTATAGTGAATAATAAATTACATGGACATTTTGTGCACTAGTAAACTATATATAGAAAAAAAAAGTTGTCTTTAAAATTTAGAATAATATGATATCCCAACTGAAATATTAATACATACTCATAGAAGCAAGAATTTTAAGCTGGAAGTTTAGAGACTTTAATTCAGGGGTGTCAAACTGTTAGCCTATGACTGCATTATTCCCATGTGCTCTTTTTTTTTTCCCCTCTTCCCTTCAGTGTTTAGAATTATGTAATTAGTTACCAACAAATAAGAATGAGTAGACTTTTAATGCTTGCCAAACTGGAACATCTGGTCTCACTAGGCTCTCCTTCCCCCTCTGGCTGGGCTGAGGGGCAGCAGAGCATGTACTTGGCCAGCTCCCCAACTCCACCCAGGCCATTTCCCTTATTTACATTACCTATCCCCCACCCAAAGTGCAGATTATTTTTACACCCTACAGATCATCACCTTCATTGTACCAAGGAAACTAAAGATCCCAAAAGGTGAGATAAGTTATCCAAGGTCACACAAAGAGACCAGAGGTGAAACTAAGAGTTGAATCTTGATTTCCTGGCACCTATTTCAAGTCTTTCCCGAACATTGCACTGAGAAATAATGCTAGTGACCTCTGTCCCATGGAGATATCCTTTCTAACAGGTTGTTTTGCTGTTTTAGGTTTTGGGCTTTTTTTTTTTTTTTTAAGGATCATTTGCAAGATGTCAGATGCTCCCTCTGGGACTTCCCAAGAGCAGCAGTAGGAGCCGGGTGTGGTCTACACTTGGAGCACAGTGCAACTATGTTAAAGTAGCAATTCCAACCAATGAAAATGATTCGCCTACCATGTTCCAGATTTCAAACTGACAGTCGAGTCTGCCCAATAGGACAGTCACTATTGTAATTAACTAGCCACAGGCACAAACAGAACTTCTGGTTTTTAAGCCAATATTCTTCAAATTGTGCACACTAAGTATTTATCTTATATTTTTCTTCATCCTTTCACTTAAATACCTCTAGTCATACAATGCCTTAAATGACTGCAAGGGTATTAGAAAGGCAACATTACTGTAAAGTGGGTATCAGAATAATTTTAAATACAGAAATAGAACTAGGAATGTGATCATGAGCAGGTGTTTCAAATAGCCTCCTGCAAAAAGTAATATCCATCCATCTCCGTAATAATGAAACCATAAAGAAGCAGCCTTTGAAAGATGATGGTTTACTTTAAGAAGACTGTAAAACTAGATGTGACGAAGAATCCCTTCTAAAGAGTGTTACATCTGGATAATTAATAAAAAGTACACTTTGTGTATTTCTTGGGCACAGAAAAAATAATAATAAATAAGGCAAAAAAAAAATGATGATAGTGGTATGCTTCTTAAATTGGAATGCTGCCAGACAAGGGAGATTTCTGCCTTATGAGTTATATCATGGACAGCTCATGGCCCATGGAAAAATAAGGCAACTGGGTGGTAATTTGTGGGGATATATTTTTAAAATAATCATGCCAATGTAGCTAACTGGAAAGTGCAGTGGGGGAAATGGGTTAAGAGTTCTATTTGAGGAGATTGGAGAAAGCGTAGTACGGTGATTGGTATCCAACAGAATCTCCATCACTCTTTCTTGGATTGGTGGATGGATGGATGGATGGATGGATGCATGGATGCATGGATGCGTGGACGGATGCATGGATGGATGGGTGGGTGGATGGATATGTTACATACTCATGGAGTACAGAAAAATTCAGACATGCACTCAATCCAGCCCACGGCTCCTGAGTGGCATTCAGTTTCCTTGATTCAAAATTTTATCTGGTTTCTTCCAGTCCTCTCAAAGGCACCACTGATTAGCCAGGATTCCCAAGACTAATGTTATTTTACCCCACCAAAGCCAATCTACAGAAAACAGGCTCTACCACATGGTGGTGAGAAAGGGAGTTCTAAGAGCACAGAAGGGATATTCAATCTGGACTTCAAATTCAGAAAGCACCTCCAATCTAGACTTTGGACCTTATCACCTAGTGAGGTAAAACATACAGTCATAGATTATACCAACAGGATTATAAAGAAGATGGAGTTCATTATAAAATTTTAATGGTCATTATAAATACTTAAAATGTATCAGAATTTTGGTTACCCTGTTTTGGCCTTTACTTTTCGGTCACATGACGGCTTACACATAAACATGTGGCTCCCAGTCTCACTCACTCTCAACCTACAGGAAGGCTATACCAGCCATTTCCAGGGTAAATAGCTATGCCATAAGAACCAGGTGACCCTCAAAGAAATTTTCCTGTCTCTAAATATTCTAAGGGAGTTCTGGTGGCATAGTGCCTAAAGTATTTGACTGCTAACCAGTAGGCTGGTGGTTCAAACCCACCAGCCACTCCTCAGAAGGAAAGTTGGGAAATCTACTTCCATAGTGATACTGCCTCAGAAACCCAAGGAGGGGTCACTATGAGTCAGATCCGACTCTACAGCAATGGGTTTGGTTTTTTGGTTTAAATACTTTACATCGTATTTTGAAGAGTGAAAACCTGAAGAAATCAATATTGTTCAAAAATATGTTTGAAATTTGAAACAAGATAGAAAATGTGGTGGAGTTGGAAGAAAGAAACCAAATAAATTCACAGTTAAAGTAACAATGCCAACCAATGAAAATGATTCGCCTACCATGTTCCAGATAAGAGGGCGTACCTTCCGAGGGGTCAAGTCTCCGAGCCCTCCGCCCATGCTTGGAGTTATTATGGACAAACATGTTATCAGAGACTGCCAGGACATGGCCATCCACGTTGACTGTTGTAGACACCACGACCTGGAGACATGAGAGAGAAATGAATGAACATTTTAATATAAAAGCATGGAGGGTAATAAACTCAAGTTAAATAAATAACAGCTGGGAGCTGAAGAAAATTGCATAGCTATTTCACATAATAACTGGTGCTTATGCTGTACAAGTTTAACAAGAGAAGCTATTGATGAGTGGGTCTTTGGCATGGAACGCTTTTGATGCAGTTTTAAGTAAAATTGCACAGTTTATAGTTATACAGCAGAAGGTACACTGTTAACCATAATTTTAACAAGAGGATCTTTATTAGCATATTTTTTTACACAAGGGTGGTTGTGTTTTACCTAAATTACCCTTCAGTTTAGACATTGAAGCAGATATCACAGTTGATCATGCAAATAAAAATCTTTTGAATCTTTAAAATAACCTTCCTCCCCAACTGTGTCAGGGTTAAGAGGATAGAAAAATAAAAATAAAATAAAAAAATGGGGGGGGGTGCTTCAGTGAGAGCTGGGATGCAGTTTTCTCTCTTGGGTGCCTTTTGGGGTTTCTTATAATTTTTTACTCCCACGTTAGTTTGATTAATCAAATCAAAGGCCCCTTCACAACAGTCACAACCACCACCACCACCCTCAAAAATCCCTGCTAATTAAGTGTCTTCGATTTGAGTTTCAGAGGCCTGGTGGTGCAGTGGTTCAGGCAATTGGTGGCTAACCAAAAGGTTGGTGGTTCAAACCCGTCACCTGCTCCATGGGAGAAAAATGAGGCAGTCAGATTCCACAAAGATTTACAACCTTTGAAATCCTAAGAGACAGTTCTACTCTCTCCTAGGGTTGCTATGAGTTGGATTTTGGTTGATCTGTGTTACAAAGCCAAAAAAAAAAAAAAGGTGACATTGGCCCAAGCTATAATTCAGACACCTGGGCTTCTCATAAACTGACTCTGAATTCAGTTTGCCAGAAGAGACACAGGCAAAGCTTTTGTTTCAGAGAACTTTGACTAAAACAATGAGAAGAAATGACCTACACTTCTCCTTATATTAAATGGGGAAAGGGATTAAAACTGAAACCCACAGAGATATGTTTATTCATGCGACCTCTTACAACCAAATATAATAATTGTCTGTAATTGCAGCTTCAGCTCCTACCTCATGCTTTGACACAGGAAACAGCAATCAGCCAGCTCCCGTTTAATCCACCTATTATGTTGACTAATTAACTTTACTCGACAGTTTATTTCTTCCTCCATTATCAGCCCCTGTCAGCCGCAAGCACCCTGCAGCATAGGGGGGACCTCAGGCTCTTTGATTGATCACTGATAGATTGACATGCAGATTAATTTAATTAGAATCACCTCACTTGAGAAATGAAAGACAATGGCAAGAGGGCTAATAGATCTGCTCTCATAATGAGACGAGCCTCCAGAGCTAAGGCTGAGGATTTCTGATTTATTTTGCTGAATTCCCCAGTTGCTTGGAAAGATTCTGGATTTAATTGTTCTTGGTTTTGAGAGGCATTAGCCTCTGAAGAGGTGAAACGCTTTACAAGGATTGGCACACATTGAGGTCCCAGTCTCTAACGGAGCCTTTTCTCTGAGTTGGCCCAAGGGGATAATGACTTGTAGAGTCTTGGGCAATACTGCAGTTTCATACCTGAGTTGGGCAAAGGGGAAAGTTCTAGGCTTTGGCTCATGCCTTTGAATTGTCAGTCCTGCTGGGCCAAGTGTACCCTCCCACAGACTCCCACCCTCACCTATGCATTCCACACTTAAAAGTGACGCTGTTTCCCCTCTTTGACCTAAATGCGTTTTGGCAAAACATGAATCCCATTTTCTGTGCCTCAAAGATGGCGACTCACTGCAGCCTCTGTGGAAGCATTCATTGCTCACAATATGAAGTTGATTTTCTTTCTTAAATCTAATTTATTAAAATGCAAAGTAAATGATTAAGAGTCTGTTCAGGGACCCAGTGTATTCTTCTTAATCATTGTGAAACCCCAAACTCCAACTAGAACAAGTTATTCATGGGAAGAGAGGAAAGTTGGGAGCAGCAGTTTGCTAAGTGGTTTTTCTCTCTATTCATGAGTGACCAACCAGGTCTGACTCAGCCTGAAGCTGATCTGTGCCTCATCAATTGTAGGTTAATTTAAAAGAAGGAGGAGAAAAAGGAGGGGAAGAAGAAAAGTGTCTATTCTTTTATTTTCGTAAAGTATTATGTGCAGTAGCAGAGTCCCTGTTATTTAAGGAAATGGAAACTTGCTTTTCTTTAAAGTTAGGGAGATGACTTCGTGGAACATATATAATTATATAACAGTGCCAGGTCTTTCAAAGAAATTTTGATTTACTACGAGACCACAATTGAGTGGTCACTGGAGACGTTAGCTGAAGAAACTATAAAAGGAATCCCAAGTGGTATCTGTTTCCAGTGTCAGGAAATACAGAAAGTGGTTATTCTAGATGTCTGTCCTTAAAAAAAAAAAAAAAAGCAATGATAATTCACCATGCACCTGTAAGACACAGCACTACAGACTCTTAAGGCTAAAAATGGTATCCTTTAAGGACATTGTCATCTAATTCCTACATTAAACAAAAATGTTAAAAACAGTTAAGGGGAAAGTAACTATACCTTGTTATGGTTATGTTGTTATATGCCGTTGAGTCAGACCCGACTCATAGCAACCTCTCCTTGGGTTTCCAAAGCAGTATCACTACGGAAGTAAGTAGATTGCCCAACCTTCCTTCCGAGGAGTGGCTGGTGTATTTGAACCACCAGCCTTCTGGTTAGCAGTCAAGTGCCTTAGGCACTATGCTACCAGAGCTCCCACTATACCTTACACATTTTCATTTTGGGGGCAAGAGAGGAATCCCAGAGTCATATATGTGATAAATTCATTTAATGGAAAAGCCAATTTAAACTAGAGAGAGTATACTGCTAAGAATACTGTACCTTCAATTACTGGAAAATAAATACATAATACATTCCTCAAGGAGTCTCTGAATGGTGCAAATGGCTAACACACTCAGATGATAACCAAAAGGTTGAAGGTTCAAGCCCACCCAGAGATGCCTCAGCATAAAGGTCTGCTGATCTGTCTCCTAAAGACCAGGGATTAAAAGTCCAAAAGAACATAATTCTACTTTGAAACACATGGGCTTGTCATGAGTCGGAGTCAATTTGATGGCAACTGGTATGTTCCTCAAAAACTCATAATACAATACATTTCCTTACCCCAAACTAATTTTTTTTTTCATTTCAATTTGGAAATAATCAGGATATTTAAATAAAAGACATGCTGAAACTAATTCACAAAGCAATTTATAAACTATTCATTTATAAATTTAAAAAAGAAGTGTGAGAGCTGGACAATGAATAAAGAAGATCGCAGAAGAACTGGTGTATTTGAGTTGTGGTATTGGTGAATAATATTGACTGTGTCACGGATTTGTCTTGAAGGATGTACAGCTGAATGCACCTCAGAAGCAAGAATGGGCAGAATTTGTCTCTCATACTTTGGTCATGTTCTTAGAAGGGACCACTCCCTGGAGAAGGAGATCATGCTTGGTAAAGTAGAGGGTTAGTGAAAACTGGGAAGATCCTCAATGAGATGGACTGACACAGTCAGTGGCTGCAACAATGGGCTCAAGCACGGCAAAAATTGTGAGGATGGCACAGGATCGGCCAGTGTTCTGTTGTACACAGGGTTGCTATGAGTCAGAACTGACTCAACGGCATCTAACAACAAGTGTGAGATGCAAAGGGAATACTGAAGTGTCCTTTAAAAATAGGCTCATAGTAGGAGGGAGAAGGGCCTTTATAGTTTAATACAAGATTAATGAGGTGGTGACACATTCATGCAGTCAAGGGGACAGCCAGGCCTGCCAAATCTTCAACCTTCCCCAATTTTGTCAACAAAACATAGTTTGAGTTGGGATAGATAAACAGAGTAAATTATTTTACATTTTGACTCAACCACCCCTACCCTCTTTACAGCCTTCCTCACTCCCCTGCCCAGAGAAAGAGATGGAGGGAGTATAAAGAACAGGTATATTTAGAATGTGATGATATTTATTGTATTTACATCTGTACTCTATAGAATAGCATTGTCTAGCACAGTAATCATATATGTGGCTATTTAAATTTAACTTTTAATGAATTGAAATTCAATAAAGTAAAGAACTTTGTTGCTTAATCTCAATAGCCACATTTCAAATGCTCACTAGCCACATTTGACCAGTGGCTACTATGCTGGACAGAGCAGATATAGAATATTCCCATAATTACAGAATATTCTTTTAGACAGAGCTGCTCCAGAATGGTTTTGAAATAAATTGTACCAATTTATTCATGAGGATTCCCTAGTTTACATCTTCTGAAATAAATACTAGGTGCTCAGAAGGAAGATGGGGTAATCTACTTCCGTAGTGATACTGCCTCGGAAACCCAAAGAGAGGTCACTATGAGTCGGGTCCGACTCAATGGCACATAACAACAACAACAACTGGTGGCACGGTAGTTAAAGAATTCAGCTTCTAACCAAGAGGTTAGTGGTTTGAATCCACCAGCTGCTCCATGGGAGAAAGATGAGGCAGTCTTTTCACATAAGGATTTACAGGCTTGGAAACCCTGTGGGGCAGTTCTACTCTGTCCTATAGAGTCACAACTAGTCAGAACTGACTTGACAGTAGTGAGTTTAGGGTTTGGTTAGATGGGGAGGTTTAGGGCTACATGATGTGTATTTTCATCACTAGATTTACTGGGATCACATTTCTATCTGCGGACTTTGTTTTTTAATACGGCAATAAGATGTCCAGTCTGATTAACACCCAACTTGTTCCAAGATATCTTCTATCTGGGTCCTACCTTCCAGACCCTGTGTGGGTGAATGGATGAGAAATGCAGAAATTTGCAGCTACCCATAGATTTGAGAGGTTTCTTGGCCCATCTTCATGATTCAGAATCAGGACTCTTTGCTTTATCCTTTCTGAGATCTAAATATCCCAAAGGTCATTATCTCTATCTGCCCCCTATT